TCACAATTATCACTAATCTGCAGTAATCTAATTTTTTAGCCTAAAAAAGTGGAAGTTTAAGTCATAATAATATTGCAATAGAAAAAGGAACGGAAATTAGATTACACATTATCTTTTTAACAGAAATTTAACAAATGTTTAGGCACCGATTCTTACGTATTTGTCATGTTGTCCTTATGCAAAATAAACATCTGTAAGAGGGGAAAATTAACCCCGGCATATCCTGGATTTACCACTGAAAAGAATAACTCTAAGATTTTGAACGTACCTTTTGTAACCTATGCTTATCCGTAACAATATTTCCTCCTTTTAAAAAAATAACGAAAATAACAAATCACTGGACCTCTTCATAGTTTCTGAGATAGACAACGCGTTGGAACGAGAATAGTTATTTACCTTTGTCTCGCAGAAGTCGTTCGTCTTGAGATAACATGGGGTAACAAACCCATAGTTAATTGAGTGGAATGGTGATGAACCCGTCAGACTCCTTTGTTATATGTTTTTGTGGACCTGAAAGTGCACAACGTTCTAAAGAATTCCTATCATTTTGATTGTATTGACCAATAAAAACGTTGCATTAATTTATTCCGTAACAATTTGCCAACAGAAAACAAAGGATTGTGTACTTTAAGGGTGCTTTCAACATAAACTGCAGCACTGTTGTTTTATCACTGATGTTTGCCGCTTTTCATAACCAGTCTCCTCTAATAACTATGAACAAACCTATGTTGAGGTCGCTATGAAGGAGAAATACGGCGAAAGAGGATAATTCCCTTGAATCGCAAACTTTATGGCGAAATATTAAATTAAGTCGAGGTTGGACAATTAAGAGGACCACACTGAGTCTAAACAATAAAGGTTTTTAAATGCGACTAGCGGCCATACCGGTACCGAGTCCTTGAAATTTCTTTCTTTTTTTCGGCTTTGAGGAGTATAACACACTGGCTAAGCAGAATTCTAACGATCGTTGCGTGGTCTTATCAGGGGCACCCAACGGCAATTTTCGGGAAAATATCTGTTCGGAAGACGATTTGAGAACTAGAATTTTCGGAGCATTTGTTGTAAAACTTCTTGCTTGCCTGCCTCTCTTAGGATTTTCGAACATCTACAAAATGGTATAATTACTCATTTTTAACGGATTTTGACCCTAAAAAAGGCCACCTAGAATTTTCGGGAGCCTTTTCCTGGCTGAAATTTTTGAGAAGGTAAGTTTTTATCCCTATAATTTTCGGATCACTAGATTTTCAGCTAGGAAATCCGAACAGATGAAAAGTTTTAGGGATAAAAAAATATGCCTATATCTACCGTTTGAATACTAAAATACGTTCAACAATGCTATGTTAAGTGGTTTTGAACTATATCCTCGTTGGGTGCCCCTGTCTTATGCGAACTAAATTGTAATTAAGTATCCTGATTACAATTTTCGGATCTCAGTATAATTGTCTTGGTTTGGGTAAATGAAATTCAGCGTATCAATATTTCAAGCATTCAAAAGTAAGAGGAAAGTATTTGTCTTTTAATACTTTGGTTAATTTCTCGACGAAAACACTGCTTCTAATAAAAGCCATGAAAATTTTGATTTTAAGCAAATATTCAGACGTTATAAGCAAACTAAATATACATACAAGGGAATAAAAAAGTGTGCGGACTCGATAAACTGAATATTGAAATGCAAATCTGAACAACTTGTTAATGCCACATAACTAACTCGCAAATGTTTTCAATGAATATCTCTTGCTTCATTGCTTGCTCTGTAAAGTGGCCAGGGTGAAGCCGGTAAATCCTTTGCTGTAACAAGCTACACCTCAGTAGGGCAAGATGGAACCTTCCTGCCCGCTTGTTTCGATGTAATGTGCGTCTTCGTAAGACTTAATCATCTAAGTATGGAAAGAAAAAAAAATACAGCTTTCTGTGGTCGAGATTCGCCCTAGATTATCTTTAAATCAAAATATTAACTTTTGTTGTGGCGGGGGTAAATAAAATAATTTTTCGGATTCAAAATAATTCAGTAATTGACTTGCATCATGGAAATGATGAAGTCGGCTATCAATTTCGTGGCGGAGACCTCACCTAATAACTGTCTGTGAAATTTTGGGCCACATAAAACAAATGATATAATCTTCGTTTGGTTTATTTTTTATTCAAAATTATAAGTGCTCTAGGTTCACACAAATTCCCGTATTCCTCAGTGGGATGTTGTGTTTTTTGCCTTTATTATATATAGTATAAAATGTCCTGACAGATTAACTGGAAGCGTTTCAAAGTTAAAATTTTAGGTCCTAAAATTATTACTTGAAAATATGATTTTAGGACCTAAAGGAAACAGAAGAACAGAGGAACCTCTTCCCCTGCATTTTTCAATACATTGCCATGGTAGTGGTGACAGTGCAGTGATTGGACCCACGTGCCTACCCTTCTAAGTTTCCGCATAAATCTTACAATTGACTTACCTCAAAGATTTTTACCCCCTACCCCCACAAACAAAGCAAATGAGATCTTCTAAACACGTACAAACAAGTTGGACTATATTGCCACGTATTGCTAAGAGGTATAATGTTCAACAGAGTGGATTTTTCTTCATTTGAAGCAAGATGTGTACCAAGCAAGAAGTCCGTGTGCAGTTGTTGTCGGCTTTCTTCTTCGTAGCTGCACTTTCTTACCAAGACGTTGAAGGTATAAAAGAGAATATTCATCTCTGTATTTTGTTTTTACACTTATTTTTATTATTTTTACTTTTTTGTATTTCCCAGCGCTGAGTATCAAAACTGGAATATGCAAGGTCACCATTACTACTCCTGGTCTGTTTGCGTGTGAAAAGGTTTCCTTTGAGAATCCTTTCAATGGCGGGCAGGATGTGAAAGTTTTCGTTTCCAAAAGCCACACAACAAAGAGTTATGGTGGTGGAGATGGCGCGGCTATTTGGGTGGAATCTGTGGATAATAAAGAATTTACAGTTTGTGTTTTGGAGTACGGAGATGGTTCTAGTGGGGCTGCGAAAGTGAACTGGATGGCGCTGCAATCTGTTCCTGTTGACGCTCAACTAGACACAGTCCCGTTGGATTCTTGGACTACTGGAGAAAAGTGTAAAAGGATCGCCTTTGAAAAAGGTTACCTCTGTTTCCCTTTGCGTTTTCGTTAAGTTAATAGTTCTTACTCATTTACTAGGTATTTCTGTTTGCTCAAACCTAGACACAAGATTTCACTACGTCATTTTTTAAGCTTTGCTTGACTAAGTCGCTTTAACTTCCTCTTTCTTTATTTAGCTCGTAGGAGCTGCAGACTTGCCATTTGTAGTCCTCCTTATATCTTTAAGTCATGCGATATAACATTGTTGCATCATAAAATTCGATTCTTTATTTGTTTACCAAGATCTGACATATATTGCTACCTCTATTTTCTTCCATCAAAGTTATCTTGCAATCTGTCCTCCACTTTTCTTGATCATTTCAATTTTTTTATTTACATTAACACTTCTTTAAAAAGGTTTAACAATCTTCATATTTTTGCTAATTTTTGCTCTAAAAAATTTAGTGAGAAAGTCTATATTTCGATTCCTTTTGTGACTACGTTGCCAAGTTCATGATTATCATTTTATTTGCTGATTTGCAAATTCTGTGTTTATTTCGTAAAACTGTTCTTAGTTTTTCATCTGCACTAGGAAATTCCATCCAATTTGCTTCTTTCAAGTTCAAAATGATTTTTTCTATCACACTTCCATCGTTTTATATCATACCCTTGTTTGTTTGAAAGATAAATGTAATTGATGATTTATTTCCTTCTCTTTTACTTTTTCAGCGTTTCTCAATTCCTCCGAGCATCTACGTAACATCTCGTCACCAAATTCTCAAGAGACCTCAGGACGCCTTGGCATTGTGGGTAGAGGATGTACGCAGAGACAGTTTTAAGGTTTGCCTCAGGGAAACTAAGATTTTTGATGGTCTGCATAAAAACATCAAGGTGGTAAGTGAATTCCTTTTGTTACCTGTTACATGTTTGAAAGTAGACTCACGCGACAACCAAGCGGTTCCTCCCTTGCTGCAACTTACAGGGGCTGTGCCCTAGCAGAACCCAGTTGCCTCTGAGCTCTACCTTTGCTCTTTGCCTACTAGGAAATCGTAGCTTTTTTCATCCTATCCTAGATCCTATGTTGGCTACCCTATGTTGGGTACCCTGTGATTTACACAGGAACAGAGCAATGGGCTCCCAGTCTCTTAGAAACAACCTTGACTTGAGAAAGAATATATTGATAACATTGTTAACACTTTTTCACTTGTCCTTCAGGACTGGATAGCATTTGTTAAGCTGATGACGCTGAATTCTACCTTGATCAATGGCGTTGTAACAACAAAGAATAACTCACCACTAAACAAGCAACAAAGCAAGGCCCTCTGTCAGGTAAAGTAACTAATAAACTATACTGTTTTGGTTTCTCAGTCACTTATATTAATAAACAGAAAATATCGTCAACTATTTAAACAACATATTATCGTCAACTATTTAGACAACATATATCATATACCGCATATGTGTAGAAAAACTTAATAACGCTGATTCTTTTCTTGTTTTTTTTATAGATAATAAAGTTCACTGATGCTTTCTATGCCCCTCCGATAGTAATGGTTTCACCAAGACTCAGTTACCATAACAACAACTCCCGTTTCTCGGCTTCTGGAACTTGTAACGCAGTTACTGTGTGGATTCAGGTAACATATGAAACTTGGAGCCATTTTTCTTAGCCCATTGCGTCCTTAGGCTGCCTTCTTATTTCGTCCCTTCGAACTTACTTTTAGCATTGTCTCTGTTTCAATTTTTCACGTCGTTTAAGGAGTCCAAAAAAGTTTTTTTTTTGTCTTCTTTTTTCACAATTTTTCCAACCAACCTGTGCACGCCACGGTTTCGCTTTCTAAACGACCTTTGGTAGTGACATAGAAGTTAAGGTAAGAAAATACCTGATGATGCTTATTAATGATTGATAATCTAATACTTCTAATGATTGTGTC